CCTGTGAGTATAGCACATTGAAAAGGTTCAGGAAACAATCTGCTTTGTGTCCTATAAGCGTTACCACCTGGTGCAATTTTTTGCTCCCTTATTCCAAGCAGCTTGGACAGTGGTATCATAGAATCCCTGCACTGCAGAAAGTTGCCATTCAGCCCATCGAGTCTGCACAACCCTCCGAAGAGCATCCTATCCAGACCCTTACCCTTTCCTTGCATTTCCCATGGCCAATCCACCTAGCCTGCATGTCCCTGGACACTATGGACAATTTAGCATGGCCAGTCCACTTAACCTGCACATCTTTGGATTGTGGGTGGAAACTGGAGCTCCTGAAGGAAACTTGTGCAGACACAGGGAGAATGTGCAAGCTCCATGCAGACAGTCACCTGAGGGTGGAATTGAACCCAGATCCCTGACACTATGAGGCAGAGCTGCTAACCACTGAGCCACCATGCATTCCATCTTTGAGCTAGGAGGCTGGGTTGGTTGGGGGTTTTGAGCTATAGGGAGAGGCTGAATAGACTGGGGTGACCTTTATCGAGATTTATAAAACCATAAGGGTCATTGGAAAGGGTAAATAGACTAGATCTTTTCACTGGGGTGGGGAAGTCCAAAACTAGAGGGCATAGGTTTAAGGTGAGAAGAGAAAGGTCTAAAAGGGACCTAAGGGGCAACTTTTTCAAGCAGACGGTGGTGTGTGTATGGAATGAGCTACCAGAGGAAGTGGTGGAGATTGGTACAATTACAACATTTAAAAGGCATCTGGATGGGTATATAAATTGGAGGGGTTTAGAGGGATATGGGCCAAATGTTGGAAAATGGGACTAGATTTATTTCGGATATCTGGTTGACATAGATGTGTTGGACCAAAGGGCCTGTTTCCATGCTGTATATCTCAATGACTCTATGACCTTCCCTCTCCAGAGGTGTGCAATAGCATCTCAGAATTGGAGTGGGAATATATATGTGCAGAAAATTAGGCTGATTAAAAAATATTTCCAAGCAGCTTTTCCTGCTTTCAAAATAAATTATATGATAATTTATCTTTCTGTGAAACCTTACTGCGTAAAAATTTGCTGCTATATTTTCCTAGATTGCAGCAGCAACTATTTGAAAAGTAAATCATTGGCTGTGAATGCTTTGGAATGTCCTGGTGTCAAAGGAATGCAAGTTCCTGTGGGTAATATGTGAAGAGTTCTGTGTGTTAAAGTTATATCCTCCAGCATTAATGTACCATATCTCTTAACTAGGGCAAAACTGTATGGCACAGGAAGAGGGCATTTTGGTACTGTTGAGTATGACAGATGTGAGTCATGCTATGTTATGTCTAACGTGGAGTAGGAATTTATATGTGCAGAAAATTAGATAGTAATATCAAACCTAGTCTAAGGCCAGATAACTTTTTTTCATTATTTGAATCCGACAGGTCAAGGTGAAGGCATTTATTCATTGGCTGATATTTTCACTGGATGTTTAAGAATGTCATTGTAAATTGAATGTTCTACTGCCCCAAAGAGGGAAATCCTCCAATGGCTCATCTCCTCCTCAGGTCCTCCAGGATAACAGGGTTAAATGCAGGAATCCTAATTGTGGCCATAATTTCAGCAAAGGGTAGTGTTGTGACGAAGAACGGTTAGTAAATTTACCACGATACTTATGGTGAATTATAGGGTTTATTTGAAAGCATTTACAAAGTACAACTGGAAATTCTCAGTTGATCTCAGTAAAGCTTCCCAGCAGAAATTGCTGATGTGCAAAATAGTGGTTAGCAGGTCTTAATTACATGTTTGGTTGAAAAGATAGTATCTTTTGTCTCTTCAACCTAGCTGGCAGTACAAGATTCAAGACTTGTACTTAGTTTTACATAGTACTTAAAGCATAGATAAGCAAGCTATTTGGATAATTTGAATGATTCTTGTGAGCTTCTACCCACTATTCATCTAAAACAAATGATATTGCTAGTGGTTAACTGTAAGTCAGCATTCAAGGGTGCATTCGCCATGCCAAGACCTCAGACAATCAGTCCATTTGTTAACTGTTCAGCACTTTCCTCTCTTGCAGTATAAATGTTGGTTTTCCACTTGAATTGGTCTTTTTGCAAATTACCCTGATGGCGGACACCAGAAATTAGCAGAGTATTGAGAAATGTCTGTGGGTCATGGATATTGATGTGATGAAAACAAGAAGTAAATCTGGCCTTCCACAGACTGACAGCTTTCTGGTGCTTTTTGTACAAGGGTTAGAAAGTAGTGACTCATCTACTCTAAATGTAAGACATTTCTATTACATGTACAGTCATCTCTTCACAACAATTTGGAGATCATCTACATGATAAGGTCCATGTATTTTTACCAATTGAATGTTTTACTAGAATTATGTCGAATCTACAGTGACACAATGCCTTTTACACATCAGATTGCATTTTGGCATTTATGCTCCACGTGAATTTCCAGCCAATTGCCATTTTTTAAAACAATTTTTTTGTTTTTTTTTCTTCCCTGTGTTAACCAATTTCTCTCTAAATACATAATATGCTATTTTCTGCAAATCTTTATTCTTAAATACAATTCTATCAAGTCACCTCTCAACCTTGTATAGAAAAAAAGAGGAGTTAGTTCAATCTTTCCAGATTAGTATAACTTCCTGACTCATTTCTTTTATTCATTCACAGGATGAAGGCATCTTTGGCTGGGCCAGCATTTATTACCCATCCCTAATTGCTCAGCGGGTAATTAAGAGTCAGCCACATTGCTGTGGGTGTGGAGTCACATGTAGGCCAGACCAGATAAGGATGGCAGTTTCCTTCCCTAAAGGAATTTAGAGAACCAGACAATCGGCAATGTATTCATAGTCATCATTGGGATTCTTTATTCCAGATTTTTATTTAATTCAAATTCCACCATCTGCCATGGCAGGATTTAAACCTGGTTCCTCAGAATCTTACCTGGACCTCTGGATTAAAAGTCTAGCAATAATGCCATTAGGCCACTGCTGCCCATAAATTATGCTAATAAGTTCATCCCAGTGTTTCATATCTTTTTTATAGCATGCTGGTGAAGGTGCACAGAGTACTGTAAAGCTTGCTTTGTGCATGCAGTTTCTACAATTGATTATTTCATGAATTTTTATCTTGAATTTCCTAAACGCATGGCTGCTGTTAGTATATATCATTGCAGCAGCAATTTGATTTTCATTAGTTTCTGAGTCATGCAGTACAGATGGCCCTTTGGTCCATCAGATCTGTACTGACAAAAAAAAAATCACCTATCCACTCTAATTCTACTCTCCACCACTTGGTCCATAGCCATGAATCTTATGACATTTTCAAGTATTCATCCAGGTATGTTTTTTTAAAAGGCTGTGAGGTTTCCTGTCTGTATTACTCTCCCAGGCAATGCATTCCAGATTTCCATTTTCTACAAATACCCTCTAACCCTCCTGCCCCTCACCTTAAAAAATAATTCCTCCTTGTTATTGATCTAAGCAGAACAGCTGGCTCCTATCCACCCTGTCCTTGCCCCTCAAATCTATACACGTCAGTAAAGTCTGTCACTACTTTCTCTGCTCTACAGAAAACAATCTGACAATCTAAGCCTATCCAGCTTCTACTCAAAGCTGTTGACAGTTTATGTAATTGGGAAAAAATTGGCAAATGGAGTATAATAAGGGAAAATATAAAATGTTCATTTTGGAAGGGAGAATGGAAGTATTATTTAAATGGAGAAAAACTGCAACACACAGCACGTCTGGCAGCATCTGTGGGGAGAAAGCAGAGTTAATATTTCGAGTCCAGTGACTCTTTAAATCGCAATATCCCTGTGTTTCTTTGACTTTGAGAAGTAGCATAATGAGCAAAAGTCACATGGGGATAATAAAGGAAAATGAGACAACAGAAATTATTTTTACAGAAGATCTACTTCTATTTTATTTAATTTGTATTACATAGAGAGTGGTTCAAGTGTGGAATGAACTTCCTGAGGAAGTGGTGGATGTGGGTACAATTACAGCATTTAAAACACATTTGGATAAGTACATGAAACGGAAAGGTTTGGAGGAATATGGGCCAGGAGCAGACTGGTGGGACTGGTTTGGTTTAGGATTATGTTCGGCATGGACTGGTTGGACCAAAGGGTCTGTTTCTGTGCTGTATGACTCTGAGTATGTGACAAAACATGTCATTTTTCAGCAATCGACAATTGGCATTGTTCTATTCTGTTCTACATCATGTCTTTACCTAGCTTGTCCATAATGGTATCTATACTGATCACCTCAACCACTATTTGAAGTAGCAAATTCCACATCCTAACCATTCTTTAGGTGAAAACGACTTGAATTCACCACTGACTCAGTGATATTTTGAGTCTGGTGGCTCCCAAAAGTGACAATGTCTGTGTATACTGTCAAATTCCTTCATAATTTTATAAATCTCCATCAGGTGACTTCTGCATCTTGTTTTTTTAATCGAAATGAACCCAAATCTGATGACTACTCTTTTTCTGCATGTAAGATCTACATATAATTTTTCACCTTGAAGACACCATATGCGTTCAATGTCTCTTCCACTTCCTCATTCCCTATGCTCTTTTCTCCTGTTTCCGTCTCCAAGGGACGAACTTTTGTGCTGTAACCAGTCTGTTTCATTTCCTTCAACCACCTAACCATTAATGCTGACAGGGTCTCCAGTTCCAGACTCTGATGTTGCGCGTCACAACCTCAGCATGTCAAATAAAAAGATGCCACTGTCTGGCCTAATTCTCTGGACTGCCTTGTTTTCCCTGCGCAGAGGAGAAGCTCGTGGGACATGCAGTAAGCTGCAGCAGCGCCACTGCCCTCAGCTGTGAAGCTCTGAGATGCTCAATACTGAGTGCTGGGGCGGGGTTAATGGCTGACGACATGTGGTTTCCACTGACAACCATCAGGGCCTCATTCCAATAGGCGGGTTCGTATTCGGGAACTGGGCTGGAGTGAGTGTCAATCAGGCAAAGCTGGCCAATGCCTGGGGAATGCGGACGCTTGACTCTGAGAGTGACAGGCTGCAGACAAGAGGGGGCCACTTTGACTTTTGGACCCTCGGTGGTGATGCGATAAGTATTCAAATATTGGCACCACTTTTCTGCAATGTTTGCGGTCCCGTGAATGCTGTAGTAGTCTTTGCTGCAAGTGTTTTTCCCAGCCGGAGGGAACTGTTCTGAAAGTTGACCTTGGGCGAGCCCCAAGTCTATTATCAACGTTTGTTTTTTTTTCCCCGAGACTGGGTGCAGTTCTTTAGCTAAAGTGCGCGCTGAAAAGTTTCTGCAGCTTTGTTTCGTTTTTGCCTAAGTTGCGGAATGGCGGACGGAGAGGAGCTGCTAAATGCGGCGGAGTTTATAAAAGGTGACGGCCTGTGTAACTGATATTGATTTGAAATAGGTTGCATTGAGGAGCAGATTCTCTTCCGTAATCTGCGTGGTTTCAAGGCATGGCGGTTTTAAATTTTAAATGGTTCCAACTTGGGCAGCAGCCTATCGCGAAGCGCCTGAACCATGGATATGGTTGTTTGTGTGGGTGAAGACGGACGCTTTGCTACTTCATGCAGTTTGTAAATGTGCGGCAACGGTATATTAATCTGGTACAGTCAATTGTGTTTATCTTTTCTGTTGTTACATGTGTTTCAGATCGGCTGTATTTTGCTATTCTTCGACATAAACCCAAAAACTCAGCAAATACGCACTATTTTAGCGTTGATGATGAGCTTGTGTATGAAAAGTGAGTATATTTTCGAGACTTCTTTCCCAATTTTTAATTTCATGTAAGGCCTTTTGAAATGTCATTGCTTTTAAGACTCATATGTGCCCCACTGACTGCGCAGCATCGCCCTAGATATGCCAGAACAACCCTTGATGATTAAGGAGTTGGTTGTATTCAATTTAAACATACTTCCACGATTTGACTAAGTCAATATGTCGAAACTTTGCTTTTAAACGAAACAGTTAATATAAACTTTTTTTATTTCCCACTACACATGTATATTTCTTAAGATCTATCATTGTTACATTAATTCATCAGTGTTGTTTAAAAGCTTCTATTAAACTGGCGAAACCTGCCTAGCAGCCGTTTACGTTTTTAGGGCTGTGCAAGGAAGTATTCAGTCGTAATACCAGTTACAATGGTGTGGGGCAAACTCGATGAACCAGCCCGTATTTACCTTCCATTTAAATTTGCATGTTTCTTCATAACTTTTATTTTCTAGTTTCTATGCAGATTTCGGACCTCTGAACATGGCCATGTTATACAGATACTGCTGCAAATTAAACAAAAAAATAAAGGTAAACTGAAATATTTATTTTTTTCTTTTTAAAAAAAGAGGTCTAAAATGTTTTTAAACAAATGTCAAGAGCGCTATAGAGCTAAGATTTCAATGTAGCCATCTTGCTCAGCGCACAAGTGAGAATAGTTACAGAATGTGTCTGAGTTTTCCAATAGAATTTTTCAAGTTAAATTTGTGAATTGGTCAAGCATTGTTCAGTAATTGTCCAAAAAAATACACTGGAATGACTGTAGGTAAGCCAAGTTTCTCGTATTAACACTGGAGTACAGGAATGTGAACTTGATCAAACCTAATCAACCCATTCAAAGACGTTACCTCACACCTCTGGAGCAGATGGGACTTGAGCCTGGGCCACCTTGCTCACAGGCAGGGTCACCATCACTGCACCATGGGGCTCCTGTTGGGTAGCTTGGCTAAGGATGTAATAAGTGCTGAACTGAAGAGAGTTTAAAAGATGCATTTGAATGATTTCCTGTGGCATTGCATGTGAGATTCACAACCTGATGTTGTCTTCAGATAATCATTTTCGGATGATTAGATTGGGTTTGAGGAGGGAGGAAGGTATCAATTCAATGTTCTGAAAGTCACTTATTTGATTCTTTTGTTTCCACTGAATCTTCAGTGTTAAAGTTTATAATGGGAACTGTTTGCATAAATTTATTTGTCCTGAAATTGAATCTTCCTCCAGTATTGGCACTGAAAAGTCCATAATTTTGAAGGGTGGAAGAGGGTTTGATGATATCCAATAAGTTTTAACACAGCATTTCCTGTTTTAAATGTGACAAAAAAATGTATGTAGTTGCTTAGATCATGAGTTAGTTTGTACTTGTATTATATAGTCTATGCATTGATTATTTTGCAAGGTTAGATTTATATATTTTATTTTAGATCTCAGATTCTCCATGACCATTATTTCTAAACTACATGGAGAAAGAAACGCTATCTATGTCTGCATGTTTGAGAAAATCTTGATCTAATGTAGTCTAGTGATGTGACTGCACTCTGAGTTGAAAAATTGAGATTTAAAAAAAAAATCTGCTTTTAAGTTGAGGGGCTTTAAGGATGTATTGGATTATCAATACCTTTTAGAATTTGTGCAACATTTCCAACTGGGGGGAGAAAGAGAAGCTTCAGATGTAGGTACTTTTTTTTAAAAGGGTTTAAGGTATCTGCTTCCACCACCAACTCAGGCAGTGAATTCCAGACACCCACCACTCTTTACGTTATAAAAAAAATTTCCTCCACTTGCGCTAACCCTTCTGCCACTTAGCTAGTATCTATGATCCTTTTGGTTCTTGAAGTCTCTGCCTAGGGAAACAGGTTGCTCCTGTCTACTCTACCTGTTCTCATTACTTTGTTTACCTCAATCATGTCACCCCCCCAGCCTTCCCTGTTTCAAGGAAAAGAACCATAACCTTGCCAGTCTCTCCTTGTAGCTACAATTCTCCAGCCTGGCTACGTTCTAGAAAATCATCTCTGCCATCTCTGCAGTCTCTCTCCAGAGCAACTATGTCCTTCATGTACTGTGGTGACCAGAACTGCACTTAATATTCCCGTTGTGGCCTCACTAGTTTCTAATACAGGATCATCATTATGTCCCTATTTTTGAGTTCTATACTTCTGCCAATGAAGGAGAGCATTCTATATGTCTACTTTAAAACCTTGTCTGCTAGTATTGCTACCTTTTAGGGATCTGCGCACTTGCTTGCCAAGATCTCTCACTTGGTCCACTGTTGTCAGTTTATTCCTGTTTACCATGTATTCCCCTTTACTGTTTGACCTCCATAAGTACATTACCTCATACTTATCAGAGTTGAACTCCATCTGCCACTTTTCTCTGTTCTCCACCAACCTGTCTGTGTCATTATGGAGCTTATTGCTATCCTTTACACTATCCACTACATGGCCAATTTTTGTTATCTGCAAATTTCCCAATTGTGCCCCCCATGTTCAAGTCCAAATCATTAATGTATAAAACAAACAGCAGGGGTCCCTACGACGAACCCTATGGAACGCCACTTGAAACAGCTTTCTATTCGCAGGGCCAGACATTGACCATTACCCTTTGCCTCCTGTTACTAAACCAGCAAATCTAACTTTTTTTGAAGCTATGAAAAATCCTCCCAAAAATCAAGGGGTTGACTTTTTGTCGAGTGTGAAATGTGAACTGCCAATGTTGGCATAGGTGAGGTTACTTTGCAATGATAAAAAAGACAATACCACCTGTAATTCAAATTGGATAAACATGTGTTTTATTAAATGACAGTTGTAAAAGAATACCTTGTACTAAATTATAACATTTTAAAAGCCATTGAATTCCTCATCTTTTGACATCCTAAAGTAAACAGTTAATTGAATTCACAGAGTCACTTTGACTCAAGTCTTCATAAGGACCTCACTCTTGACTAGATGTGAGGCTTTAGTTTCGGTACTGTTGCTCCCCAATAATTTACCTTTCTCTCCACTATTAAATTGAATATTGTACATTTTTGATCAATCTGATGACCTATTGTGTATTAATAATAACATCCCAGAATTTGATGACAGTCCCACATTAAAAAACATCAAGCTGTGTGCCATGCATTTTTCCATTCTTCATGAAATTTTTTTGTCAACCATCCACTTATTCTATTGAGTAAGCATGATCCTGGAATAGATTGTTGAAACACTTTCTCCAACTATTGAACTAAGGACATTAGATATCCTGGTGTAGTACATTTTGATGTTACCACCTCATGGGCACCTCTTGATCTCATTGATTGTATAGGATCTTGACATATCCCACATGAATAAGCTGCATTATTGGCAGATGCTCATTTCATATTGGTGACCCACAACTTCACCTTTTTCTTCCTCATCCAACTGTTGTCAAGGTCACTTTTGGCATAATTTTACGTTTGAAAGTTATCCTGGCCTATACTTTTATTCAAAATGCATTACCAACAGAACAGGATTAATGTGCCAGGGAAACTTGGCATTTGTGGAGAGAGAAAAACAAAGTTAATGTTTCAAGTCCAATGGCTGTTCCTCAGAACCCCTGAATCTTTTTTGGCTGTGTCCTCTAGAAATTTTCACTAGACCAATTGTACCCCCCATGTTGCTGTCTAACAGCATTTTTATGCAAGCAGGTATAAATGTCTACTCTTGTGTGAATTTTGTTATATTATTTTGATGGATGAAAGGCTAAGTAGCCAATGAGTGTTTTGAGCACATCACTGTGCATTGACCCTTAATGTTTGCTAAGGGACTCCAAACAAAAGATTGGTCAAGCTTTGGGATGACTTTTTGCTGAAGTTCACATACTTGTTTCCATGTCTGGGAGTCTGCCATAATTGTCAATGAAAATAAATAGGTTTTGTCAGTATACAACTTGTTTCTGTGGTATTGCAGGATGTTCAGGCATATTGAGAAGGTCATAAAAGTTTGGCATTGAGCTTGTTTGTTGGCGTTTTTTATATTCTACCAAGCAGTGAATTCCTGGGAAGCGTACCTTTTTACATTTTAAGAAGTTTTGCTTGATATTGACAAGATGACACCAAAACTGGTGATGTAGTTGACATTGAAGAAGTTACCTCCGAGTACAATGAGACCTTGATCAGATGGGCCAATGGGTCAAGGAGTAGCAGTTGGAGCTTAATTTAGACAAATGTGAGGTGTTGCATTTTGGTAAGGCAAACTGGGACAAAACTTGTGCAATTAATGGTAGGGTCCTGGGGAGTGTTGCTCAACAAAGGGATCCAGGGATGCAAATGCATAGTTCCTCGAAAGTGGAGTCGCAGGTAGGACAAGGTGATGAAGACGGTGTTCGACATATTGCCTTTATTGGTCAGAGCATTGAGTATAGGAGTTGGGATGCCATGCTGTGACTGTACAACACATTGATAAGGCCATTTCTAGAATACAGCATTCAATTCTGGTCTCCCTGCTACAGGAAGGATGTTGTTAAACTTGAAAGGGTTCAGAAAAGATTTACAAGGATGTTGCTGAGATTGAAGTGTTTGATCTGTAGGGAGATGCTGAATAGGCTGGGGCTTTTTTACTGGATCACCAGAGGCTGAGGAATGGCTTTATAAAATCATGGGGACATGGATAGGCTGAAGAGCCAAGGTCTTTTTCCCAGGGTGGGGGAGTCCAAAACAAGGGGGCATAGGCTTAAAGTGAGAGGGGAAAGATGCAGAAGTAACTTGAGCGGCAACTTTTTCATGCAGTGGGTGGTGAGTGTATCAAATGAACTGCCAGAGGAGGTGGCGGAGATGGGTACAATAACAACATTAAAAGGTATCTGGATGGGTACATGAATAGGAAAGGTTTAGAGGGATATGGTCCCAATTCTGGTAAATGGGACTAGATCTTTTTAGGATATCTGGGTGGCGTGCACAAGTTGGACTGAAGGATCTGTTTCTGTACTGTAAACTCTGATTCTAATTTACTGGTAACCTTCGTGTGCTGTACCTGACAGTACATTGCCATTCCACACTCATTGAGGGAATGTGGTAATGATGATCTCATTTCAAACATTGTGAAGACCTTTGATTTCATTTGTAGATTCTCTAAGTTGCCTCAATTATGTGCAATAACCAGTTGTCAGATTTTTCATTTGCTTCTCACTTCATGTAGCAGAAGATGACCATTTCCTATTTTTTTGAGCATGCCCAAGGTTTAAAGTGTTTTTTGCTGAGTTGTAATCATTTTGCTTGGGCGTAATTGTCTCAATCTTCCAATTCTTCACTCTGTAGGCTTGTTCTTTATTTTCTGTGATTGTAAAACTGCAGTTATGCCTTCGTTGCACATTCACATTGTGAAGATACAAATGATGGCTCTGAAGAGACATCCAAGTCAGAAGATTGGGCATAGGTCATAATAAGCATTGCCAATGAGTGTGTGAGATCAAAAATCTGGGATCCCACTGCTACTAAAACAAACCTGTGTAATCAGAAGTCAATATTTTTTAGATTGGATGGATACTTTTACAGGATCAATGTGTGTTTACACATGACT